GAAAATATATATATATATATATATAATATCTCTGCATGGGAACTACTGAATCATGGCCTGAACCTCTGATTGATCACCTGAGGTGAGCAATGAGTCAGCCATGGGAGCACAGGTGAAGGTAATTCACCTGTACTGCTGGAAGGAGTGGAGCCTGGCTCCACCTCTCCTAGACCCGTTTAAGAGCTGACAACGAGTAGGGAAGGATCTCTTCTGGAGATCCACTTTGTTGGAGTTTTGTAAGTGAGCCCAGGTTATGGATAAGCAACCTATCTTTTCTGCTTTGGTGTAATAACTGTGTAGCCAAGCTTTCTGGTATACTTCATGACTATAACATCTGTGCATTCATTGATTGTACAGTATCAAAGGAAGAATCTCATTTTCTGTGAATCCTTGTTTTCTATGAATGTTCTGAAAGCTGCTCTGGAAGATGCAAAAATGGGTAGTGTTGATTCAAGACCCAACAAAATGTGGACTCATCTCAGAACCAAATTCAGCATGACATTGTGACTAAATCATACAGTAATGCTGCTCGCCATTATCCTGCAGTTTCTGGATGTAGAAAGGAGAATACAATATTTTTGGATATTTTCTTGCAGATGTTTTTAAAAGTATGATGGATTCAGGGAAGGAAAAGCCTCTAAATTCTCACTGGGCTGCTCTTTCTGAATTTGGATTGCGTATGAGGATAACTAAATTCATTTCTCCTTCCATCTCTCACGTGGTTCAGGTTTTGATAGCAGTGAATGGTCTCAATTGTCGTAAATGTGAGTCATAGTTGAGGCTCTTCTGTACTCCTTGAAACCAGTCTCTTAAGAGGAAACTATTGCAAAACTCTTCTCGAAGTGAAGCTGAGCTCCTATGAGCACCTCTGCCCAGGTGTAACTTTTAATATGTTATTCTTTGAATTCAGTGTGTTCAGCCAGATGTGTAAATGTTAATCGTGTACATAAAGAAGCGTTTGCAAGGTCTCAGATACTATTAAGAAAAGTCCTGTTGAGAGTCACTTTCACACAAAGGATACTTCCCTAGTAATTACTTGGGGGAGCAGTTAGTATTCTCTAACTAATTCTAGGTGATCTGTGTGAGTACTTAATGTTCATGTTTGTTTTGAATTTTGTCTGGAATGAAGCTATTGATTATTTATTCAGTCTTAATTTGGGATCATCAGGCTTAGAAGTTTTAGTTCTCTTTTTTTATTCAAGTCTTGCATTGACATAATGGAAATAAAAATTGAACCCAAATGCTTCACTGCAATTCTTCCCTAACCCCCATACTCTGTCTTCATCAATACAGTTACAGTCTTTACTCTATTTGTGGTTTTATCATAGATGGGACTATTAGAATTCCTCTGAGCTCTGCATGCTCTTGTTCTTCTCATCTCTGTGAAAAGCAAAGCAGTTCTTCCCTTGTGAATGCAATTTGAGGCTTCATTTTCTCTTGTATTTCTCCATGCTCTGTGTTCTGGTCACTCTGCTTTCCATTTGCTTCTGATCCATGAAATAAACAAGCCCAATATATCTCTGTGTACCATTCTGGAAGGTCTGTCTACTTGGAGCTGAAGCATTTAGCAACAGAAGCTTATGCATTTGTGAGGTCATGGATAAGAGAAGGGATTTATTGTACAGATTATTATTATTTTTTTGGTGCCAATATTGTAATACACAGAAGGAAAAAAAAATTGAAATCACTTTGACTTTATTTAGGAAAAAAAAAAAAGAAAAAAAAAAGGGGGGGAGGGAGGGCAGGCAAAACAAATGTAACAAGGGCTTTATTAAGGGGAAGAAAACTCATGCTTTTCGAAGCTGATTGGCTCAACGGTTACTGATAGTTTCTTGTGTTAATTTTGATTTTTCATCTCTTTGTCCTGAGACAGTCAAGGATTTGCCTTCCAGATGCTGTAGAAGGATAGATGGGGTCTGACTTACAGTTTCAGATGATCAAATGCAACATGCTGAAAGCAAAGACAGTTTTACAAACCCACTTCAAAGAATGTGCAGCTGCAAAATGAGAGTGGTGGAAAGATGTTAAGCTAAGGAAAACTCGAAGTGGTTGGAAAGAGAGAGCAAGGACAAGTTATATATGCTGTGAAATAACACTGTAAGCCCTAGGAAAAAAGAAGTATCTACTTCATTCTGTTGCTGACTTGCCTTCCTGTCCACTATTTCTTAAAAGTTGTTGAGAAACTTTTGTTTCCATTTGCATTTGTTTCAGAAAGATGTATGCCTAGGTGTTAGTTTTTGAACACTGCAGTAAGTAAAATACAAAGGCTCATGTTTCAGCATTTTTCTGAACTGGTGTTTCTGTGTGGGAGAGGGCATGTTCTGTCCAGCAATACACTGTTGCATAGCACAGCTCCATCTTCAGGTGCTTCTAGCAAGAAGTGAGGTCACTATCTACATTGTAGCAGGGGAAAAAAAAAAAAAAAAAAAAAAGCTATTCTGACTGACATCACCAGGCAGAGCCATAGGGAAAATGGCGATATTGTAACTACTTGACACAGTTGCTTTGGTTGGAAAGCGTGACTCTGGGTGAATTCCTGGCTTGCCTAAAAAGAGATTTATCCAAAGGTTTAAAAAAATGGGGATGACTTTTTCATTCATAGTGGACATTTGATATTTTGACTGTTGGTCAAGGAGCATGTACGGTAATTCTATAAAACTGCCTAGTGAGTCAGGAACTGGAATTTCAGAGAAGTCTCCTGAGTGTATGAGTGACTTGAGAATGGGATGTCAATTAAATAACCAGTTTCCTGGAAAATTGTCACTTGAAGCTTTTCAAGAGCTTAAGACAGACTGCTTACAACTCCATGAAGCTGTAGGATAATTCCCCAGTCCCCAGTGATCCAGTGATACTCCAGTCTCCCAGTATTAGCCCTAGTTAGCAAGTACAGTTAAAGGCAGTGAAGTGACACAGTTGGCTGAATCCATGCCTGCTGGTTGCTGTCTCCCTGCCCTGGTCAGTGGAGAGGGAGCAGCATAGGAAAAGGTCTTTGAGGGAGCTGTCTCACTGACTGCATGGGGACTGGGCCTGATCTTTGCAGAGCCAAGCCCTCGTCTGACATCTGCTGCTCCCTTGGTTTGCAGTGGTGCTGCCTGGGTAATAGAGGCCGTGGTTGACAAAGAAGGGCTCTTGACTTAGAATACATTCTAAAACTTGCAGAAAAAGCTGAATAGCAGCAGCATTCATAAAGGTAACAGGATAAAAAAGAAAGTGAGATTGAAAATATGTGTGGCTAATCTTTTAGATATGTTGATGTAAAAAGCTAGCAGCTTTCCTTTGATTTCTGGTAGAATGAAAATCTATATGAATCTCCCTGGATTTACTGATCTTGTCTTGTGTTACATTCATTTTCCTTAGCAATTCTCCTCTTTAAAAAACAAACAAACAAAAAGTGCTTCCCCTTTTCTAGTCAGTGAAGAAATACATATCTATCCTTTTAACGTAAGAGGGAGAGCCCCTGTCTCTCTTGTCACAGTGTTGAACTTTGCCTGATGGCACGGTATTACCAGAAGGCTCCATTTTATTGCTTTATCACCACCTTGCCATTTCTTTTGAACGCATCTGAGTCAGGTGCTTCTGTAGGAAAGGAGAAGAGTTACGTTAGCAACAATATTATTTTCAGTAATATGCAAAAGCAGAGGCTGTAATGATTGCTGATGAAGCACTAATTTATTAATAAACCTGCTTTATGCTTTCCCCCATGGTATTAAAGTTTTTGTTTTCTTTGGGCACAGTCAGGTTTTCAAGTTACTAGTGATAATGCAGAAATTGTTAGCAACTCAGCGAGCAACAGTTGTAGCTTTATGCTGGAGGAGGAAAAAAGGGACACTGTCCATGTTTGGTGGGCTAGAATACATTAAGTTTGTGTGTTTCACACTTCCAGTGTGATGGCTAATAATGTTGACGTTTAAGGTGTGCCCACACATTGGGCTATTGAGCTTGTATTCCTAAGCTCAATCCCACTATGTCTGTTAACATGTGGAATAAGCAACTGCATTTTGTGTGTCAAGCTGTATTCAAGTTATCCACACTGTATTTTAGCCAAGTACTGTGTCCCAGCTGAGGGTCAGTTGGTAGTGCACTAATTCTTACATTGGTTTTCAGTTAATGTTGCACCCAGAGTAATACGGGATAATTAAAAAAATATCAGTGCCATAAAGATCAGAGGTGGAGGAGTCGTACATGACAGCAATATGAAATAATAATAACTGATAAATAAATGAGATGAAAAAAAAAGACAACTCTCAGATTATTATTGGAAATCCCTAATAAATGGCCAGTCTTCAAGTGAAAGCGTACTTTACTTAGACATTAAGCTGCAGAAGTGATGAAGCAAAGATTTCAGGGCATCTGGAGATGACACCCTCCCCATTTGTACAGGCTAGGTGTCAGAAGAGCACTACCTTCAAGGAGAGCCCTTTTAATAATTTATTTACAACATTGTCTTAGCCTGTATGTAGCTGTTAAGTTAGCATAACCAAGTATTAGTAATGTCTATGTAAGATAAGCAAGATCCTGACTTAAGTTTCATTTTTCCGCCTCAATTCAGCTGCAGCGTATTCCTGTTGCATTTCTTTTATCTTGACTCAGCCAAGATGGGCTTATGCTATCTATAATTATTGTTCAGACTCTGCAGATCTGCTCTATGTATGGTTTATCTCTTTCTAATCTTATGCTTACTATGATTTGTAAATAAGTAAGATTAGATGGTAGATCTCCACTGTTACTGCCATGTTCTCCAGTTCTCCAGCTGTCTCTGGGATGAAAATTTAAATAAGTTATAGGTGGTATCAGCTTTAAGTGATACTGGCAGGAACAGGAGTAGAAGCACTGTATGGGAACTGTTGAGTCACAGCCTGAACCACTGATTGAACATCTGGGGAAAGGACCCGGTCAGCCCTGGGAGCACAGGTGAAGGCAATTCAGCTGTGTGACTGGAGGGGTGGAGCCTGGCTGCACCTCTCTTAGACTTCATTTAAGGGCTGACTGCCACTGGGGAAGGATCTCTTTCTGAAGATTCCTCCTTAGTGAAGTTTTCCCCTGCAACCTTGGAATATTCTGATACAGGTGAGCAATCTCCTCTTCCTTTATAGCAACTTTCTACTGTGCCAGTCCTTCCGTTGTCACACCTTTGTTGTAATGCCTTTCCCATCATATTGATCTGTTCAATTGCTACAAGCACACACAGAGGCTGTTAAGAGGCAACTGAGTGACCTTCCTCCAGCTTTTATTTGCCACCTGCAGACAATGCAAGACCGAGTGCTTCTAGACTGTTCCAAGGCCAAATCACAAAAGGGCTTGTCACTGCATCATAGTTTATCCAGGAACTGGTAACTAGCTGGCGACCATGCCCTTAGAGCTTGAAAAGTGTTCACAGTTGTGCAGATGAAGCTGTGTTTAGTGCTCTGCCACTCTTGGTTACGATAAAGAATGCTTGGCTTCTTATCATGTTGTTACTTTTTGAAAATACAAGAAATGTTGTATAGGCCAGTTTTTGCATTGGATAGTGCAAGGCCCTCTCCTTTAATATTTTGGGATTGTTGGTGGATTTATTTTGTTTTGTTTCCTTTACAATATGTAAAGAACTGCAACACTTTACTGTAAAGGGATTTCGAAGTCCAGAAGGCAGTGCTGTGACCCACACAGGGTTTTAAGGCAAAACATATAAATTGCATTGGGTTCTGGTGGTGTTACCAGAAGCTAGCTGATTCTGATAGTTTTCTTCAGAAGGTTCTATCTGGACACTCATCGTTATTTCATCAGTCGTGCTTTGGGCTGCATAGCCTGTTAGTTCATGCTGTACTACTATTTTACCTAAGCATGAGGAAGTTGGAAAGTACTTGGTGTTTTACTGCTGTTTGTAAGAACCACGTGTTGAGATTGAAGCAGGGAGTTGAGATGCAGGTATTTAATCAGGTGGAAAACCTGCAGCTAGCTCATCAGTAGTGGTGGTGTGCAGGTGTAAAACTACATAGGAAGATGACTGACTGACCTACGCACCTTTGTCTATCGCATTTTGGAGAAGAGACTCTTTGCTGTTTGTTTGCGTAGGTGGAGAGAAAGCTATGAGTATTCATCTTCTCTCTACCCTGAGAAATACAAAATAATGGTTTTGCCCAGTGGCAGCCAGTATTTATAAAGAAACCTAAATGTATATGGCCATTAAGGCTGCACATGCAGCTTTGGAAGGGTTTTCATGAAGAAGTAAAGCTGCTAAATCCAAAGAGCTATTGGATTGACTCCAGAAACAGTGATGTAATTGGGCATATACATTGTATGGGATGTTTTGATTGGATTTAGAAAGACCTAAACAAAGAGATGATCTTTTAACTATGCTTTTGCACCAAAAGATGCAGCTTCTTACAGCTAGGGGTGACCTAGATGTATGGAATTTATTCTGTAACTGGAATCCGGGCTTCGGGTGTCAGTGTTCCTGAGATTTTCCTTGGTAGAACAAAGTGTTCCTACCTTCTTGTACCACTTCCAGGTAAACAGAGATTAATTAGGAATTTGCTGTGCCTTTCTGGTTTTTAGAGGCAGATGTGCAGCACTTTTAGACGTTTTTAGTTATTAAAAAAAAATGGTATCAGTCATTTTTGGCTGGGAAACTGCAGAATAAGTATTACTAATCCTAAAGCACTATATATATATTTTTAATTGGTGATTATAATAGGCTATTAATGAGAGAGAAACAAAAAAAATTAAAGCTCAACATGAAGGAATATTTAATTTTATTCAGGAAACATTTTGGCAAAATCCCCTGGATCCACACAGAACCTACAGATTTAAGATGTCTTTGCACAGCCAGAGGCTGAGATCATGGCTGTCTAACTGCAGTTGGATATTTTAATATCTGCCAAGTTTAGCCTTAAATAAATAAATGAAAAAAGCGTATGCTTCATGCTTTGTGCGAACTCTTGAAATAGTCCTCACTTAATATTCTTGAGAATAGTGACCTCCCTTTGAAGATACTGTCCTCTTGCACAAAGTCCTTCACAGAACCAAGGAAGTAGCTGTTTAAGTGAAGCTATGAAATGTCTGAAGGTGCTTTCTGGAATGCCTGAAAATGACCCTGGTTCAAGAAATATGCCCTGCTTGCTGCCTAGAGTGCAGTAAAATCAGTCACTGGAAATCTATTAGTTGTGGGCAATTGCAAGTGTGCTACCCAACATTAACCCACAAAAAAAGGAAAATTAATGCAGTTATGAGTAGCTCTTGCCAGAGAAAGATGAACAAATAGGAGCAGAAGCTGAGTGGGAAGCTTCTAGCAGCAGGAGGGGGGAACTGTAAAGATCGTCTGTTCAGACATGCTTTTTTACTTCTCCCCTCTGCAATTCTCCAGGTATTTCTCTCTCTCTCTCTCTCTCTCTCTCTCTCTCTCTCTCTCTCTCTCTCTCTTAAAGACATACATGTAAATATATCTAACAGTTACTGTGAAATCTGTAATAAGGATCAGGAGGCTGCTCTCAAGGACCACTGTGAAGAAGAGGAATGCTTTTAGAGTAAGGTCACATCCAGAGGCTACCTCAGCTGATCACAAGCTTGTACTTGAGCACTGTATAAGCACCTTGAGTAGTCCCTTCTCCAAAGAGCTTGCAATCTAGTAAATTGGACACATATATACAAGGCTGTATTTTTAAAATTGTTCGTTTCAGTTTTTATTTCTGCAGTTTCTTTTAAGTTATTAGACTCTTTCCTCTCTGTTATGCAAAATATTTTTCTTTACCATGCAGAAATACCACTGAAAAAACAACCCAGAGGTGGACAAAGTGAAGCAGCAGCAGGACAGAGCAAAGATTGTTTTCTGGTAGCCCAACAGAGAGGGCAGAAAGAACAAAGAAAGTTCTGTCTTCTTGCTCCTACCTTCTCCTTTATTTGCTGTTTTCTAGTACCATTTCCCTTTCTCAGAAACGCCTGCCTCTATGATATTCAGCTACATCTGTGCTTAGTGATAACATTGCTGTTCAAATGGCAGGATAGAATGGAACATGTAGGTGAGAGAAAAACATCCAAACTCAAACTGAAGCAGGGGCCAGAATGTTCCTCTTCAGAGCTTCTAATCAAAAAAATCTCAAAAAGAACCCCATCTCTTGCCTTGCTGTGTTACATCCATAGTCATGGCAAAATACATAGTGTCTTACATGGTGTTTTGTAACCCCTGATGCAATGACCTCTGTTTACAAATGCAAACATGCTGTTCAAGTCTTTGCCAACAAGTCATGACTAAGCTTGAATTATACAAGTTCATTTATACAAATTCAACTGCGAAATAGGCCATGCTTCATTCTGGCACAGTAAGTTGGTCCTTTGTACTATGTTACACTTGAGGGTGATAGGTTTTCACTGAGTTTAATATTGTATCTCTTTTTACAAACCAAAAATCATTATTTTTGAAAGTACATCATTAAATTAAACACAAATACTTGTTTGATCATTCTTATTTTTAATTGTTTGAAAATACTTTTCTTTAGAATAAACTTAGTATGTTTTCAGTCTTTTATTCTACTATGTCTTCCTTATGGAAGCCTTCCTTACAGAAAAAGAATATAAAATCATTTGCTCATGAAAATACATCATTAGTGGTATACAGACTGATATTTGTTGTCAGTGAGGTTGTATTATTTCAGAATGGTTGGGGCTGTTTATTTTTTTTCTTCTGCCCAGTAAATTGAGAGCAGAGAGAACAAAATCCACACGGTTATCAGGATTTATCACAGTGGTTTATTGTATTCTTTTTGGTGTCATTCAGTGTAATTTACCAAAGATAAGGGGTTTGGGTAAACGTTACAGAGGAGTACGCTCTAGAGGAACATACTCCAGTAGTATTAGAAGTTTAACATTGAGTTTTGTTTAGCTGTGGAGATCTTTGCTATTGGTTGTGGTGGTGAGTCTGAGCTGAAATTGCTCCCTTACAATAAAGACACAAGTACTCTCCACCTGATTTATTCAGTATGGAAATCCTGAAAAGATTCCCAATAGGGGGAAATGCCACGGCTTTGTTACACAGTTCCCCAGCTCACTTTTTCTGATGTTTTCTCTTAGATTCTCCAGTTTTAATTTTTATCTCTGGAAAGATACTCTCCAGTCTTGCAGGATGCTGACTGTGCTTTCCTACTTATGCCTAATTTAGAAAACCTAAGCTAGTGCTATGATAATGTACAATGTAGTGGTTTTCCTTAGCCATTTTCTTCCATCCTCCAGATGTCTCTGGAGTACCACACGATACAGAAAGTTCATTTTAAAATGAATGCTGGGCTGGAATATATGAACTCCATAATGACTTGGATGTCAGTTGGAGGAAAATTCATGTCAGGACATCACTGGAAACTGCTGGCACAGCTCTGCTTTTCAGTAACTTTTAGTATTCTTAACTTTTCACATTTTATTAAAAAATAATAAAGGACATCAAGTGATGTCCCTTCTCATCTACCTCACGTACTTGCATAAAAGTGAATGCCATGCTGGTGTTGTTGAAAATGCTGTTGAATTTTTCAGCTGCGATAGAGGGTTATTAGAGAAGGAATCATTCTGGAGCATGGTGTTTGTAAGCCTCCAAAAGTTATTACTAAATCCTTGCATAAGTTTTTAACAATTGTAATGACATGCCTACACAATATTAATACTAGAGTGTGGTTTTTTATTTTCTCTGTAAGTGGCTTTTTGTTCCTTTTATTTAAGTGTCTAGTTTTCTCAGCTCCACTTATTTTTATTTAAATGATGACCAGACACAGTGGGTCTTATGCTATATCATGACCAGCCCTTCAGCAGAGGTTGGAAGCTATTAACTTCTTCCAGGTTTCATTGGCTCAGAGAAACTGCTAACAGCAAATACTACCTTACAGTTTGCTGAGCTCAGAGATAACTCGGCAATGCTGAACAAACCTAAATGTCTTCTTGTGCTGACTATATATTGTCATAGTTATACTCATCTTCGTTTCTCTTGGTTTTTTAAATCTTGCTTTTTTTCCTGCTTTTTCATCCTGGTAAAGGAGTATTCTAAATCTTCTAAATCTGATCTGATTTGCTCACAGTTTTCTTTCTAGACCATGAGTGACCACCGTCAGACA